GTGTTATACTCTGTAATAGAGAGATGCAAAGATTAATTCAATAAAACTTTGAGTAATGATATATTGATTATAACCTCTTTTAAAAGATTAAATGAAATAAAACATATGGAACCTATTGTCCCATTCACTTAAAGAAAATAGAAACAAACATTAAAATGCATTTCTTCTTATAAGTGTAAAAGCAAATCAAAGACAAAAAAAATAGAAATGAATATTTCACCAGGGTTACCCCTACAGTTACATGAAACACATTTCTCTGCTTTGATGAACAGTTGGTTTTCATAAAGGCGTTGGAGGACAGCTCTTACATGTTGTTCATGTTGATGAATGTCTTTGGAAAAAATGAGGATATCGTCCAGGTACACAAAGACAAAATCGTTCAAGAAATCTCTGAGGACATCGTTTATTAAAGCTTGAAAAACGGCGGGGGCATTTGTGAGCCCAAAGGGCATCACCAAATATTCAAAATGGCCGAGTGGAGTCTTGAATGCGGTTTTCCACTCATCACCCTCCTTGATGCAGACGAGGTGATAAGCGTTTCTGAGGTCTAATTTAGTGAAGACGGATGCAGAGTGTAACTGATCATGAACGGAGTCAATGAGCGGCAAGGGGTATTTATTTTTAACTGTTATTTGATTTAACCCTCTATAGTCGATGCAGGGTCTCAAAGTCTTATCTTTTTTCTCCACAAAGAAAAAACCTGCACCTAGAGGTGATGTGGAGGCTCTAATGATACCCGAGGCTAAGGATTCTTCGATATACTCCTTCAGTGACTCTCTTTCAGGGCCTGACAGATTGTACAGACGGCTAGATGGTAAAGGAGAACCAGGAATGAGTTCTATAGAGCAGTCATAAGGTCTATGTGGTGGTAATGACATGGCTTTGTTTTTACTAAAAACTGGGGCAAGATCATGGTACACTTTGGGGACTTTAGACAAATCAATTTTCTCAGTGAGTGATTCTTCCCCTTTAACAGAGGTGGGTACCGCGGACTTTAAACAGAAGTTGAGACAGTGCGAACTCCAACTCTCAATTCTCTTTTCTCGCCAGTTAAACACCGGATTATGAATACAGAGCCATGGAAAACCAAAAATGAGTTGAGGAGTAGGAGAGTGAAAAACAAAAAACTCACCCATTTCGTGATGATTACCAGAAACGATGATGTGAAGATTGTTGACTTTCTGCGTGACTTGGGATAATAATTGTCCAGTAACTCCAGTGATAGAGCGGGGTGGATCAAGTGGTGTAGTAGAGATACCTAACTGTTCAACTAAATCACTGGAGATGAGGTTTTGCTCCGCACCAGAGTCGACAAGGGCAGAGATGGGTAGCTTAATTTGTTGAGAAACTACCGTGGCAGGTAAAGAGAGCAGCGAGGCAGGGGAAAGTTTGGTGTCGCTCGTCAGTTTCCCCTGATTTACTGGCGAGCCTGGCCGTTTCCCCGAAGTGGGCAGGTGGCGACAAAGTGTCCTTGGTTCCCGCAGTAGATGCATAGTTTCTCCTGAAATCGTCTTTGTCTTTCCTCGGGTGTTAGGCGTGTACGTCCGATCTGCATCGGTTCTGGTTCATTTACGGTAGGTGTTGCGACAAGGCTCGAGAGTTCACTGGCTGACGGAAAAGCGAGGCCGAAAGGATTCTGGGAATTGAAGTTCCTTTCTCTCCTTCTTTCACGGAGTCTATTGTCAATGCAAATGGAGAGAGCGATTAATTCATCAAGGCTTCCGGGTTCATCCCGGGAAGCCAACTGGTCCTTAATTTGTTCAGATAATGAATTAACAAAGATACCTTTTAGTGCTAATTCTTCCCAGCCAGCCTCTTCGGCAGCAATACGGTAGTCCACTGAATGTTCCGCTACTGATCTTCTTCCTTGTCGCAGGTTAATGAGGCATTTTGCTGCTGCCTCCTGTTGGAGAGGATGGTCAAACACACGTTGAAATTCACGTAAAAACAGCTGAGTGGTGAGGGTTTCGGACGAATGTGCAGACAAAAAGGCTTGAGCCCATTTTAAAGCCTTTCCTTTGAGAGATGTGACGATATAAGATATTTGAGCAGAGTGGTTGGGAAACAGAGAAGGAGAGCGTGAAAATGCCGATCTGCATTGTAATAAAAAAACCCCACATTGATCTACGTTACCGTCAAAAAATTCAGATGGTCTGAGTTCAGGTTCTCGGGGGGAAAAACTGGAGTGGGTGTCATGGGAGCTGGAGGAGGAACTGGTTGAGATGAAGCCGTTTTATTAAGTTGAGACTCTATGGATGAAAGATTCTGGGATACTTGATTAAGCAAGGTTATAGTTTCGCGGTGTGATTGAAATAACTGGTTTAACATAAGGTCATCTTTACTGAGTCTATCCTCTTGGACTAGAAAAGCGTCGGGCGTCTGATTGTCTCCAGTATTGCTCACGGACATGTTGTTTGGCTGAAACATACTATCAGGATATCAGGAGAGTCACGTGAGCAATTGATGAGAGACAAACTGAGGCTGAGATACAAAAAATATATGATTTATTTTAAAACAGGAGGACAGGAGCAGGGGAGGGAGTGGGACCTGAAAAACGGAGGGTTGTAGAGATGAGTGAACAGATAGTTGAATCCAATAATAACAAAACGACTGTCTGCTTACAGGTGAGGGCTTTAGATGAAGCACAGGAGAGTGGATCAGTTCCAGGGTGGATGTTTATAGGTGAGTATATTTACAAGTTCGTTGGAGGCGAGATGGCAGCGCAAGGACAGGTGAGTGGCTCGTGAACAGGCAGGCTGAATAACTGGGATCCAAGGATTTCCAAAGCGTTTCTTAAAACCTGGGAACAAGTAGGCAAAGAGAAAAACACAAAGTTTATTTAAACAAGACTCAGAGAGATGCTCACAGGCTGAGATCATACCCAAAGTGGTTTGATGTTTCAGCGAYGAGTTGATCCTCAGGCCTTCCTTATRAAGCCAGTTGCTGATGAGCCAGTTCATTGCAGGTGAGTCCAATCAGCGTTGCCAGGGTGACAGGAGAGGCATGAGGTGAAAATCACCAAATGCCTCATCGTCGGTTGCGAAGAAGCCTCCTCATGTCCGTAAACGCCACTCGAGCCCTGGCCACAACTGCCGTGTGGTCATATGTGATGATGACCGTGTCTTTTTAAAACGAAGAGGACCACGACTCCGAACCCGACGCAGTATTTCCACACATTCTTGATAATAGTGCAGCTTAGCAACAATAACCCGTGGCTCATCGCCTGACCTTTTTCCACCTGGAGAGCGATGGGCTCGGTCCACCCGTGGCTCTTTATCAATCTGTAGAACCTCTGCTAGCAGTTTAGCCACTGCTGAAGTGGAGCTGGATTCTGGCGTTTCAGAAACTCCAATAATCCGCACATTGCACCTTCTCATGCGCCCTTCCATGTCGTCACACTTCTTTTTGAGCCCATCGACTTATTCTTTCAGTTCCAACATGGTGGTGTGCAGAGAAACAACCTCTTCGGACCAGGTTGACAAGCCGTCCTCCACCTCTTTAACGCTCTTTTTAACGTGGTCCAGGTCTGCGTGCAGTAGCATTATGCCGTTAGCCACTTCAGCTCTCACCGCTTGTAGCTCTCCTTTAATAACAGTAAACTCTTCAGCTATAGCCGCTTTTATTTCGGATTTGATCACAGCTGAGAGATYGGTTTTTATAGCGGCAAGAATGTCAGACTTCAAGGAGAGTGCATCCACTTCGCTGCAGGAGGGAGAGGGGGGTGCCGAAAGTCCGGCTTTAGCTGCAGTCTTCTCCGAGCCGGCGTCGGGCCTAACAGTCGTCGAGCTAGAATGTTTGCCTTTCCTCGTGTTTATCGCCATTCTTCTACTCTTCCAGGCAAGAATCACTCAGGGTTCGAGTCCAGACAGACCAGATGCTCAAAGCAGAAAGGACATTTAGTAGAGAACCATAGAATGAACAAGTCGGAGCGGGAGCCCACGCGGCATGCGTCTCATTCCTCCGCCATCTTGCCCCCTACTATTTACTAATTTAATATGGTGCATTTGCATGTAATAAGTGATTAGCTTTAGAAAATAATAAAACAATGTATAGAGAAACATTAAAGAGAAAACATGCTCTAACTCTCAAGGAGGTATGGTAATTTACGAACTTGAAAAATAAGCTAGTGAAACAATGTTGAAATGATTATTAAAATAATCTTAAAGGGTGAAATCAATAACAATCACCATGCGAAGAATCTTGTTTTTGATAACAAGCTGATATATATTGGGGGAGGTGCATATATCATTCAAAGCACACTCAAATTCAAAAACAGTGAGTTGGGAAATGGAGATAAGCTTTGTTTTTAGTGGTCTGCAATTGTTGGAACTGATATCACTTGTTGTCCAGGGTGTGTCTCTGGATGGTTTGAAAGAAAGGATTGGGCCAGTAGAGGATCTGACTGGTGMAGGTGTTGCTACTGGGGATTTTTTGATGAAATGCACTCTGCAGGGCACATCTCGTTTACCTGCATTCTCAATGAATGGTGACTTTGTTATTGGAGGAGTTTTCTCTATTCATTACCAACCTCTTACAGTGATTCATAACTACACCACCAAGCCTGAACCCACAAAATGCACAGGAAGGTTAGTAAGATGTTAATGAAATGAAAAACTGACTTAGATTTGTAAAAATGAAAATATGGTTTGCTGTGACGTTTTTGAATTCAAATTTTAACTTTGCATTTAAATAACACGTTGTACAGTATAATTATTATGTATAGTAAATATGTATATTTAAGGCAATTTTATGTCTTAAAGGTTATTTTTTGTTCAGGAAAACCTAGTGTTTTAGGCTAAATTAAAATTTGACAATGTAATTGTTATTTTCTTTTTCCATTTCCAGATGCTTTTCCCTTGTCATAAGGGTTCATATTACTTATTTTAAATATTTTATTGCTTTTCTACCGATTTTTGTCTGAATATTTGTGTTCTCCTAATATTTTCTGTGCAGCATTATTGCCCGGGAATTGCGTTTCTCAAGCGCAATGATTTTTGCTATTGAGGAGATAAACAACAGCACAAAGCTGCTGCCGGGCATCAAACTTGGATATCAGATTTATGATTCATGTGCTTCAGTTTCTGTGGCTGTGCATGTGGCATTTCAGCTGTCAAATGGCCAAGACCTTGTGTTTTACAAAGGCAGACTATGTTCACAATCTGGTGTTGTCATGGCTGTTGTTGGAGAGTCTGGATCAACGCCATCCATCAGCATGTCACGCATCATTGGGGCTTTTCATATTCCACAAGTAATTCATCTGAATTTACTTAAAAATGAAATTCAGAAGAAAAAAAAAAACTGACGATATTTGAATGATTCCTTTTTTTCTTTTTTTTTTCTTTTTTGTTATTTTGGTTCTTCAGGTGAGCCACTCTGCTACCTGTGCCTGCCTGTCAGATAAGCAGCAGTACCCATCTTTTTTCAGAACGACTCCCAGTGATCAGTTCCAAGCTGATGCTCTGGCCAAGCTGGTGAAACACTTTGGCTGGACTTGGATCGGTGCTGTTCGCTCTGACTCAGATTATGGAAATCATGGCATGGCATCTTTTCTGGATGCAGCGCAGAGRGAGGGGATCTGTGTGGAGTACTCTGAAGCCTTCTATAGAACCGACTCACAAAAGAAGATTAAGAGAGTAGCTGATGTTATCCGCAGGTTTTTCCATCACTGATTGATTGTTTTTTTTTTTTTGATATGTTTAGACCAACTAAAAGACGTACTAGAAAAATATGCAAATTATAAAAAAAAGGTTACTGCTTTTTTTAAATCCTACATTATGCTTTCTTTTGTAAAGGTTTGAGCTAAATAAATCCTAAATTTCTTGCAACTATCTAAAGTTCATTTGTTATAAATCTGCAGGTTCTTCTTATTTGTTGGCTAAAAAATTGTCATTTATTAAGAATAATTTGACTAATTTTAATGCTTTTCTAGGTCAACAGCAATGGTTGTTGTGGCTTTTACAGCCACTGGAGACATAAGAGTTCTGTTAGAGGAGCTGGCTCGGGAGCCTCCACCACCTCGTCAGTGGATAGGAAGTGAGGACTGGATAACTGACCCATATCTGATGAGTTTCAGTTTTTGTGCAGGAGCCATTGGAGTTACTATTCAGCAGTCTGTTATTCCAGGGCTWAGAGAGTACCTACTTACACTATCTCCTGCTGAAGTGGCTGTCTCTTCAGTCTTCACTGAGTTTTGGGAAGATGCATTCAACTGCAGCCTGAAAAATGGTTAATGCTTTTATTTTTTATCTTTTGTAACTTCATTCAAAAAAAGTGAAATATTTCTTTCAAATTCAACAAATAAAAAAATAAAAAAGAAATTAGAATACACAAGTTTTAAAAGTTTTTTTTTTCCTTTAACTGGCTTTAACCATAAATTTGAAAATAAGATTGAGCATTACATGATTTTGCGATTATGTCTTCAGATGCCTATCAGTACAAAAGACTGTGTGATGGAACTGAAAACATAAAAACGCTGAAAAACCCGTACACTGATACATCCCAGTTAAGAGTTACAAACATGGTGTACAAGGCTGTTTATGCAATAGCTCATGCCATTCACAATGCAGTGTGTGTGGAAACAAMTCACACAACTCAGTGTGACAAAAAAATCAGACTGGAATCAAAACAGGTCAGTTTCAACTAAAAAAATTGTGATTTAGCATTTTCTTGGTCTTGAGTTTGTGTAGTTAAAACTAAACTGTTAATGGTTTCTTATTGTTGATATTTTTTAGGTTTTATCTGAACTGAAAAAAGTAAACTTTTTGCAAAATGGTTATCCTGTGTCATTTGATGCTAACGGTGATTCTGTAGCTTTTTATGAGCTGGTCAACTGGCAAAAGAGTGAAAGTGGAGATTTTAAAGTGGTAACAGTAGGATACTATGATGCATCACTGCCAAAAGGCCAAGAGCTTCAGATCAACAGGAACATAACCTGGGTGCAAGGAAAAGCAGATGTAAAAGCCATAGTGATCATGAATCAGCAGAGGAAAAGTTATTATGATGTAAATAATACCTGCTGGCTTGCTAAAATATATTCATAAATTTAACTGTTACACAGGTTCCAGTGTCAGTGTGCTCTGAGAGTTGTCCTCCAGGAACTCGTAAAGTGTTGCAGAAAGGAAAACCCATCTGCTGCTRTGATTGTATACCATGTCCTGAAGGTGAAATCAGTAATACAACAGGTATCAATTTATGTTTTTCATACATCTCTGCAGAAGAAAACTAACAACAAAAACAAAAAAACATGTCTAAACAATTCTCTTTGACTTTTTTTTCATAGATTCTCCAGATTGCTTCCCATGTCCCAGTGAATTCTGGCCTAATGCAGAAAAAGATTCTTGTTTCCCCAAACATGTTGAGTTTCTGTCTTTTAATGAAATCCTGGCTATCATCCTGGCTGCATTTTCTGTTTTTGGAGCCTGTCTGGCCATCATAACTGCAGTTATTTTCTTTCATCACAGAACAACTCCAGTTGTTAAAGCCAACAACTCTGAGCTGAGCTTCCTGCTGCTCTTCTCTCTGACTCTGTGTTTCTTATGTTCGTTAACTTTCATCGGAGTTCCCTCTGAGTGGTCCTGCATGCTGAGACACACAGCGTTTGGTATTACCTTTGTTCTCTGTATCTCCTGTGTTCTTGGCAAAACTGTAGTGGTTTTAATGGCCTTTAAAGCTACACTTCCAGGTAGTAATTTTATGAAATGGTTTGGGCCTCCACAACAAAGAATGACTGTAGTGTTTTTCACATTTATTCAAGTTTTAATTTGTAC